CAACCATACTTTTTCCTTTTTTGGAATACAGCACTAGTCTTTAGGCAACACATCTTCAACAGAAGGTTGAACTAATTTTTTTACTTTCCATATACAATTAAATAATTAATCTTCATTATAAATGCTTATATTTGAGAAATGTTGACTTATACTTTTCTTTCCATATTCTCTTATATCTGGTTTGCTTTTTTGGTAACACTTAATTTTTCCTTTAGTGATCTCATCAAGTTCATTCACTAAACACAGCTTCCCTTTTGATGTAACCAACATTAAGGCTAATTGAAAAGTTCTTTTCCAACAAATTGATCAATTATGTAGCCCATCAGTTGCAGCTGGACATCAATTGTTTTCTAAACAACAAAAAATAGCTAACATACAGTGTGGAAGGCCTCCCAAATATGTTGGTGAGCCAGTGGTGCTCTATCATCCAATATTTAGTGACTTCTTGCAAGATTGTGAAAAGGATGATTATGTTGACAAAACTCTTTGTGTAGAAACACTTAAGTTCCTTAACACAATGTCTAAATTCTACAAGATAGAGCTTATCAGGCAATCAGCTATTGCAGATTTTTATCATTTTCTTTTTGGCAAAACCTTCAATGATGGTTCTCCTAAAAATGATGGCTACATAATGGGAACAAGTGTAATTAATGGAATAAGTTTGGAAATTCCTGTTATTCTAAGAGACATAAAAAATGAAATCTCACAAGGGAGTTGTGATCCTGTTCTACAGTCAGCTATTTGTTATGAGAAATTTTGGTGCGGGAACTGGAGTGGTAAACCTGAAGGATACAATCAAATCAGAGAAATGTCAGTTTGTCCTACCTTTCTGTTGTGTTCTGCTGGTCCATGGTTATGTGTGTGGGTAAGGGCAGTTGTTGTATATTTTTGAATTTATTTTTGATTCATTCAATCTTCTTACTATTTATGATTTGTTTAGGTATTGTTTTGGCAGATAAAATTAAAGTTGAGACACTTACAGATATGCTCTATCTTGTTCCTACATTGGATTCTAATAAGCTTCTTCATTTTGCCCACACATTTTCTTCTCTTCGTCATGCTTGTAAAAACTCATACAATACTATCATAATTTGCGAGTAGATTCACCAACCACTAGTCATTATTTTCCATATCATAATACATTTAATGGTATAACATTCACCTACAGTGCATATATAAGTCCACTAATATTGTCAGCAAATAGCATAAATGGAATTATATTGTTAAGTGTACTCAGTATTATAATGAGGAGGTCCATAAGCTCTGTGCAAATAATGGTGGTTCACCACAGTTATTTGAAGTCTGTAGAGGAATTGTACATGGTTGGATTATGGAAGAAGTCAGGGTTGGCAAATGTGTGGTCCATTGGTGGTCTATTTGGTGATCAATTGGGTCCATTAGTGTACCATTTTAACCATATTTAGTATTTTATTAATGGCGATGGACCAGTTCAAAGTCCATCATTTCTCAACGGACCAGCAAATTTACCAACCCTGGAAAAAGTTATTAGTAAATGGTGGAAATTTGTAATTATATTAGTTTTGATTTATTATTCATTGAAATTAAATTTAGGAAAATCCTTGTGCAATTGTGATGATTTGAATACT